TTCCCTACTGTGGGGTACGTGGAATGGCATCCAGGCTCAGCTCCCGGTTGTAACGGCACACTCACTCGCTGCTCCCAAGGCACAACTCCCAAGCACAAAATTGTTGAGCTCACAGCCAGTGCACATGCCTGAGGGCGGCAGGGATGGGGTGCTGCAATATTCACGGAGCGGGCCTGGGTCCTGCACAGTGGCGTTCAGAGCCTCACAGGTCCTTCTCTCATTCCCAGAGGGGAGCACAAGCAAATGTTTACTGGCACAGAGAACTTAGCTGTCGTCTTTGTCCCATGGCAGCTTGATGGTTAAACTCCAGGACTGCCTGTTCTTGCAAGTCTGATGGTGTTCAGTGCTTTTCTTTTTTAAAGACCAAACCGCTGCAACCAGGAATCACCAGCTTTCACTTTTCATTTTTAAGCCTTCCTGGTTGCAGAGAAAAACCTTGAAAACTATTTTTAAAAAATTACAAAACATTCCAAACTATTGAGCTTTTTAAAAGTGTTAGGGCATTTTTTCCTTTGTCTCATTCATTTGCAGGACACAATCACTAGGGAGGGCTTGATCACCCCTAAGCTGACTGGTTTCACTTCCTTACGCAGGTCTGTGCTCTACAACTCGATGTGTGGCCTGCCATGAAAAGCTATAATGGTTCACACAAGGCACAACTGAGCAGCAAAGGGCAGCCCCAGCTCTTCACCGTGAACTTTGCATCCCTAGCACGATCTCACGCAGACACACACCCTGACAAAGTGTCCAGCCTGCCGCTAGCTTGCCCCCTTCCTGGGCCCGCATGTAAAGTCCAATCTACTCTTTTGCTCAATAGTTTAATTTTAGAAAGACAGAATAGCAAGTTGTAGGAAAGCATAAGTACAGAAAAGGAGATTATATTTAAACAATCCCAGTGACCTTGAGCTGGGAGAGCTCAGACTTTCTGAACCTGCTGCCAGCCCCCGTGACACGCGACAAAAGAAATAAGCCTTAAAAAGGGGGGAGGGAGGGGAAGTAAGAGGCTTTCTTTAAACAGCCACTCATGTGCTGCACATATGTGGTGGCTTAATATAAAACTGGTCAACCTGATCCCTGTAAGACTGGCCTGACATGATTTAGCTCTGTGTTAGCCCCCCAGCCAATGCGATAGTGATGAGGGTCACTGGTTCAAGATGAGTCTTAAAACAGGTTCCGTTGCTGCTGATGCTCTGGCTCAGCTGTTGAGTTGGGGGGAAGAATGTCCCCTGTGAAGCACCCTGACAGAGTCCATCCCACAGGAACGTGTGGTAGGCTCCAACCCCCTCAGCGAAAGCGCAATTCTGAGCCCTTGCAAAGGGCTTACTCCCAATCTCCAGCACTGAGGCTGAGAAATGTGGGTCCAACAGACCTCTCTATCTGCTTCTTTGTGGGTGCTGTGGCTTTAAAAAAATACAGCTTTAAAAAAATGGAGCTTAAAGGCTTGCATTAGGGCCAAGCTAAGTACCATCTCCTTGGGCACACCTTGCCTTGACTACAGAATGACAGGGGAAGCTGCAAGATATTCAGATACTACTCTAATAATAAGGTCAGATAAAAAAAAAAAAAAAAAAAAGAGCAGGAGACAGAGCCTGCTTTCAATCTCTCAGCACTTCAAAACTGCCAGCAAAATCTAAAGCCTTACTCACCACACATTGCTCAGCAGAAGTGATGCTAAAAAGCCCAAACCAGGAAATTATTCCGCTCTACAACAGGCACAGGGACTTTTCTACAAAGCCCTCCTGCTTATCAGGCATACAGACTGTGCATTTCATGGTACGCATGTTTAAAAGAAAGAAAAGTAAACCACAGTGTATCCAAGAAGCCATCCAAAGGTTAGCCTCAATTAGTCAGGGTGAAGAGTTCACAATAGTGTAAGAAGGTCTTTAATCTTGTCTGGTGTCCAACTTAAATCCCTGAAACATGGCAAAAATGCTGGTACCTAACACAGTGAATGGGTTATTTTTGGTAAAGATTCCTCCCTGCAGATAAGCCTACAGAGCTAATGCTGCTGCTAGCACTCTGCAAACAGTCTGACCTGCTCCTCGACCTAGTAGACGTGGCTCTTCCTATAAAGCCGGACAGTTGTCAAGGCCCCAGATGCCTACTCTTAAATCAATACATTCCCTCACCAATCACCTTCCCGTAAAGCAGCAGATGCTAGAAGAGAAAGCCCATTACATAAGGTGCTTTAATTCCCACTGATAGCTCTAAGCAAAGCATGTAAGGATGCTCTTAAGAACATCTTGTGCCTGCTAGTTGTTACTTTGCTCTGGTTTTCTGGTGTCCAGGGAAGAAGGTACTGAAAAATTGTTGTATTATTAAGTTTCTGGAGATTTTATGGGCATTCTGGAAAGCCTCTCGCATGAAATTTCTAGCTTGCATTAGTGAGTATACACAGGCTATGGTTTCACATAACATCTCCCTCTTCACTGTTTCACCTCTCGCACAACAGGTGGGGTGGAGAGGAGCTGACAGTCTCGGGGCATTCCCGTTCGGTTCGCTCTTTGCAGACAGGATAGCTGCTGTCACCTACTACTTTTCTGTGGGCAGACCGATGTAGCAGTTGCAGTGTTTCACTGCAGATCCTGAGGGGTAGCGTGAGCCTCGTGCTGACCTCAAGCCACAAACGATTCACAGTGAACGAGGCTGTGCAAGGGGCACCTGGGCCCTTTAGCAGGGGAAGGGAACCCTGGCAGTAATAGAGAGTATTTTCCAAGAGCTGTTTACACTGGGGAAGGGCCTTCGGCTGGAACATGGTGATGGGAGTTTTAGGTCCAGGAAGCCTGCAGGAGACAGTTAATTTGCATACACACAATTAGCACATTCAGGATCTCTGCTATCTAGCAGTCTAGTCAGCTTCTGCTGCCAGACCCATGGAAATCCCCAGCGAATGGCCGAAGTCCTCGTAGTCTGTTCATGTAGATATGCTGACAGAAAAAGATGAGAGGATACAGCTGTGGAAACCTGATAGGCTTGGGCAGATCTGCTTCTTCTATTCCCCCAACCAAAGTAGGGATGCACACACATAAACCCCCCACTTTTCCTCCAACAACTGATCAGCACGACCTGCTACAAGCTAGATCACAGTCCAAGCAAGCACAACCATCTGCCATGGTTTCCTAGTATCAACCCTATGCCAATGCCTCATCCTCTACAGATTTTCACAGGGGCAGCGGGAGACTCCTAACAGACAACTCCTACTCAAGGCACAAGCCTTTCCTGCTCTGCTCCCCAGTGTGCCAAGCACTGTCCCGGCTTGCTCAGGAACCACTCTCAACTACTTAAAAGAAAGTAGGTCTTTGGCATAAATGCTACATGGGGAACGAGACAAGTTTCATAAGCAAAAAGGAGGTATTACAAAAAAATACATACATTGGGAGTCAAATACATTCCCCAAACGCAACAGCCATAAACCGGACCCAACCACAGTACTGTTTCATCTGCTCCCACATAGTCTCCCTGGTGGCAAAGTTCTGCTTATGGCCAGCAATCGCTAGGGCAGGATTTGCCCCTCCCTGTGCCTGACAGTTATCTACTCTAAAAACAGCTTTCCAAACTTGATTGACTGGAACCCCTGCTACATGGTGAGCAGGGCTGGTTCAGACACGTTTCAGAAGATGATAAAGAGATGACTATGTTCTTAAGTTACTGTTGAAGATGGTGACAAGTTGTATGTGGGAACAAATATAATAGTGACGTATCTGGGAAGAACAACGGTAAAGACAGAGAGGATTTTTTTTCTGTGCTGAGGAAAATAAGCCAATAGAGACTTTTTTACACTCTTCTTCTTTTGATAGACATGCCCCAAGCCCAGAACCTCATAAGTAGCTCTGCAAGGGACTTCTTTCATCAGCCTAAGAGTGGGGACAGCGCTCTGTTCGCATCCTCCTTCCCTCCCACTCCCCCTCAATTCTCGACTCCAGCTCTCGAGGGGAGCAGGACAATCCAATCAGATTTTTCTAGGTCCATTTTCAGAGCAACTTTTACCCACTGGACACCACTACATAGCTTAAATCTATCTTCCGTCTGTATGGTTCCTTGTCCTGCCTTTTCTAGTTCTCAGTTCAAGTATCTCTTTTCCCACCCTCAGTCCACCATATTTAACCATTTATGCATCATTTATGGTATTAAACTACATGCACAGAGTGCTAATCAATCTCTAGGACTCCTAGCCAAAAACAAGGACTCCAGCATTTCCTAGAAAAATACTTTAAAAGTTACAGAACAGTACCAGCCCAGCTCCAATGCAGAGCCTGCTCCACACTAGCCACCGTTTTCTATGATAAAAATCTGTCCGGCAACTGATTAGAGGAACGATAACAAAGAAACAGAAATAGCACAAGTTGGGGTAGGGGTTCAAAGTTACTTTACACCTCAGAATTGTGTATTCACAGCGAGCAAACAGGATCACAAAGTTGAAGCTTGTATTCACCACCTACCTCCAAGTCTGCTAGGTCCACACAGAACAGCCCTTTCACTCTACGCGGCATGACCGGCTGACTGTTATCCATGTTCACAGGAGTTTTAGCTGTTGCCCAATGCCATAAACAGTGCATTGTTATTACTATAATCTCTTTCAGAACTAAAGGATTTTACAAGCAGTCATTATTCTTGTTTTAAATATAGGTTTTCAAAGAAAGAAAGGAGCCTGACAACAAGACAGCAATTATAACAGCAAGAGCTTTCAAGCTTCACAATGTCTAGAGCAAGTCACTGAGCAAAAATAGTCTTCACTCTGGACTAGAGGAGTCAGCAGATATTCTAAATTAGAGCCGGTGCTCTATTTCTGACAGGAGAGCCTGGGAGCTTCTGTGCTTCCCTGCATGGCAGCTTTATTTGGGAGAGGACTGGGCGGGGAGAGAGGGGAGGGGAAGAAAGAGAAAAAGAGCATTGTTTCTCTAACCTCTGAGCTAAAAAACTGCTTGCAATTAGGCTGTTTTTCAAAGGGGTTATGTCACAGATTAGCACAGTCTTGAAATACTCCCTCCAGCCACACTAGAAATGCAAAGGAAATCAGAACCGTTTAAAAAAGCAAAAAACCATGAACAAGCAGTGGGCCACAGGAGAGCCCTTCACCTGCGCGCACCTCCTGCGTTGTACCTGCTGCTTCTATTTAGACCTCAGGGGTGGACAGGGAAGGGCTGTGTTGTAGCTGTTCTCCGAGACCCTACAGGTACTTGGCAACTTCTCCAACTAGTTTCAAAGCCTGAAAGTCTCAAGAGGGCTGTGTGCCGAGCATGAATACACTATCACAGCGTTTGTGGGGTTTTCTTTCTGTAGCACTTTTTGGAAGCACTGAGAAGGAAACCCAGTATGACTATTTCAGTTTTACAGTAAGCTAACAGTATCTTAGAGATGGGAACTCATTCCCAAGTGTATCTTATCTTGTACACCAGCAACAGAACCAGGTATGGGACTCGAGCGTCCCCGTTTTCATTGTCTGACCTACTCAGCCATCTCTCTAAAGGTTCCCTAACCACCTCTCCCCAGTCATGTCACAGGCAGTGGGCATAAAGCTAAGGGAAACCATTATATCTTTCTTAATAACTAACCTATTAAATCTCCTTCTGTCAGTGATTTCCATTTTGAAAGCATTCAGCTGAATTGCGTTTCGCATGCTGTATAAAATCTAAGCAACAGCAGGGATGATCCCATGATACCTGTAACATTTCTGAAAGACAACTCATCACAGAGAAACATCTCTCCTGCACTGTCTGCTGATGTCCATGCCACAAACACCAACAGTGGCTGCATTGCTATTTTCTAAGCAGTGAATTAACAGGGGGGGAGAAAAAAAAATCACTGCAAGAACAGAGCAGTTGGTTTACTAGCCCAGCTATTTCCATTTTCCCCAGATTACAGCCTGTTCCAGCATGCCTACTCAAAAATCATTTTAATGACCCAATGGGTGTTGCAGTTCTCCTGTCCAGCTAATATAAATGCTACAGAAGCTGTCTGCAGCTGCATGAAATGGATGCAGAACTTTTAAAAAATAACCGTACATTTGGAATCACAGAGGAATTTAAATGCTTTGTACACCTCTTGTATTCCTGTCCCAGGGAACAGAAGGAAGAGAGTTCATTACACTGGTCACTGCTTGGGAGAGGGTAGCAAGAGAGCACGAATAAAACTAATAAGCAGTTGGAATATGTTCTCTTCCTGCCTTAGACCGAACCCCAATTTGTTCACCCTTTTTAGTGACCACACAAACGGAAGGGCAGTCTCAACACTGTCTGCTCCCTGAATTAGCAGGATGTGGCAGATTTGAACTGTCCACCTCCCTCCCCCTTCCTCCACCCCTCCTCTTCACCTCTTCCCTTCCCCCAGTTCTGCAGGCATCACAAAGGATTTAAAAAAGAGCTACAAAGACATTCTTCTAGGCTCAGGCAATTCCAGTAACCTTAGAAACCAACAATGGTTGTGAGCCTGGCAGTTTGGCCACAGCAACAGGCTGCTTTTCTGTTCTCTCATTGTCACTGCTGCACCTTCAGCTGTGCTACCCAAACCTCGCTGGGCTGGGAGGCAATATGCAGCATCACATTCAAAATAAATAGTAGTAAATAAAAAGAACAACTCGGTCCTGAACTCACCCTATTTTACCAGAGTCTGCTTAGTTACATTAGGACCAAGCTGGAATAACTTCCATGAAAATTTGCTGAATTTTTTCACTCAGGCAGATCCCTGCTGCAGTCAAAGAAAATTTTTGCTTGTGTAAGGATCAAAGGCAACTGAATGAGAACACCGTGATCTGGCCTGCAGAGCCAAAAATGGGAAAAAGAATGGAAAAAGCCTTTTCTCCTTTGTTTAGCCATCAGTGGACTGAGCTCTACTTATATTGCCATTAATGTTACACTGAACTGAACTGTCCCCAGTACAGAACAGCATGGGGAAGCCACGCACAGTCCAGACCCAAGGGAACAATCCGATGGCAGTGCCCTGCAGTCCTGGAGTTCCCAGTAACCACCATAACGTGGCCAGGATTTCAGGCTCCTCTTCCAAAGGGAGGAAAAAAAAAAAAGTGTCAGAGACAGGAGCTGGGGGCCTTGGCTTATCTGGTCATTTCTGATTCCCGCAGAAGTGTGAGATTATTCTGTGCAGTAAAGAGGCTTCCAGTGATTTGCATGTGAAGAATGAAACTGTATGGCCTGTGAGCATGAACAGCTGATGCTGGCCACCACACAGACCACCACAGGAGAGTTATTCATTCCATTCTTTTACACTGATGCAATGCTCTTTGGTATCAGTTTGAACTGGAAACTTTACTCATGGGGGTGTAAGGGTGTGTATAAAATGAAAAAACCTCTCTTGTTCTGAGCAAAGACTCCCACCCAGTCAAAATCCAGATCAAAATCCATCTGCCCATTACTGGGTTGCAGTCCATTTCATTTTGTAGTCTGAGTGCTGTGTGAGGCTACACAGTTTCACAACCATCAGTGTGGGACAAACTTGTAAACTCTGACCCCTTTTGCTAGTCTAAGTTTAGAGGGACACAGTGTTATTGGCTATTTTTGGATCTTCACTAATTTATAATAGTGGCATGTATGCTTTTAGAAATAAGAAAACTCTAGGCTGTCACAACTCAACATTTTTGCCCATTTGTTGGTTATGTCAGCGCACAAAATTTTAACTTGGTTTTTTTTGGCTAGTACTGCACACAGAATATAGGATGGTAAAGTATTATTATTACTATCTAGAAAGTTAGTAAGTGATTAAGTTATGGCATCATTCTCAGACCTAGCAGGCAGAAGAAGAGGAGGTCCTGGTAATGCAGGACCTTTGTCTCATACCGAGCAAGGTGTGAGGCGTTGCTTCAAATGCTATGATGAGAAGGGAGGAGAACGAAGGGAAGGGAGTATTTCAGCACTCCCGTTGGGTGACCACTGCTTCTGGGAGAGAGCAAGCACGCTTTCCACCAAAGGTTCCTCTGTGTAGCCCCATACTCCCACCTTGCCTGAAAGTAAGTTCAGGAAACTAACTAAAACCCAGCAGGCAGCTGGGAACGTCTTGAAAGGGCGGGAAGGTTCTGTGCTGAGGGTTGTCTCCCCCTTACCTGTACAACTTCTTTCCTCACATTGACAATGTCTAACCAGTCATTGAATCTTGGGTAGCTGTTGAGCTCTGCTGTCCTGTCATTCAGGGGCACACTCAGCTTACACTGCCGTTGTCTGTGGATGTAGTCAATCAGTTTCACCTGTTGGGATCCAGAAAGTAAACAGTTAAGTTCCTTGGGATACGTTGTCATCTTCCTGCACAATGTTTGTATAGTACCTAGCCAAAGGGGATGCTGGTTTGTGAGTGGGGCTCTTTCATGATATAAAAATGACATATTCTTACAAGCACTCAGGGAAATTAATTCAGGGAAGCACTTCCCTCACACCAAGCATCTTTATTATTCAACATTTCAGCAGAAGGCAGGACCTTGCAGGGCTCACCCCTGCAGGACTCTTCTCTAAACTCCTATCAACAAAAGTTCTGTGCAGAGGCTGGGTGTCATGTCAAAATAGGAAAGGGCATCCAACCCATTTGAAACACTTAATTACATTCAGTTTAAAGGCATTGCACACGTACATGCAACTTCATTCTGGATGCTGTGGATATTGCTGGTCTAACCTACAGGACCATCTGCCCTCTCATCCACTGCTCCCATATGTTTATTATATCCTCTTACATCGGGACTCATTTGGGCTAGAAAGTCAGTGAGGCAGGAATAGCCAAAGTACCCAAAAACTCTGAGGCCTGTTATCTGATGGGCATTTCTGTTACCAAATCAACATTAAAAACAATGATCTTAAAAGAACAAAAATTCAGGCAGCTGGACTAGATGATCGTTGTACATCTTCTATTCTATCCTAAAGTTTTATTCCAAAGCTTTTATTACCTGACCATCTCATGCCAAATGCACTACACAGAAACTTCCACTTCAGACACAGAAAAATAAAACAGCAAGGAGTATTATTTGTGCTTTATGTTTGCTTATCAAAAAGAAAATATTCGCAAAAGATTTCTCACTATGTCAGACGTTCCCATGGGGCAGACTTAAGCTTCAAAACCTTCCTAACAAAACAATGCCTCAAAGCAAGTTAGCTGATCCGTGATTTATAAACTAAAACATGTTCTTAGTCAACAAATTTTAGCATTTGGGACAAGATCAGACTACAAATGAAAAGGAAAAAACAAACATGGATTCTTTGACCACTGTAATATCTCTCCTCTTAAGTTTCTCCTCAAAATATTTTTGGCCTATGTATCTGAATGATGCTATACATGACTTGGATGCACAATCTCAGTTATACATGGGAAAGAGAATTAGATCATCTCCTCCTTCCCCAGATAAAGGATATGTCAGATATTACAGGGAAAACAGATATTGCGTTTGATCTCAACTGAACAACACCCATATGGAGCATAATGCTTTTGGGCTGCTCAACAGTTTGGGAGAGCTACTACTTTGTAGTAACTGTCCTAGAACAAATGCAAATTCTTCCTTGGCAATATATGGGAATCACTTGTTTTATTGAAAGGGGAAAATTCTTTCTCCTTCTCATCTTGTTTACTGTGACCCAGTCCTGCAAATGTATAATCGTGAGGCTGATCCATGTGCTCTTACACACAAGCCTGTTAAATAAGCAAGGCTCTGCAGAGGATAATAACAGAACATGCACAGAAACACAGTTAACCATAAACAAGCACTGAGCAGGAGGACCTGTACTTGCACA